AACAGAAAGCTGGTTCGCTCCAGGGAAGGGGTGAACAAACTCACTTTAAAAAGCAAATGAATCGTGGGGCTGCTCAGTCCCGGGTAGGCTGATGTTAAGGAAACAGAAGTGCTCTTCCTGGTCTGCATGTGAGATCACTTTTCAATCTCAGGAATTAAAATGTAGAAAAGAATGTTTCCCTGGAGGGAAGTGTAGGTTGTGGAAGGAGGAGCAAAATAAATGGCAGAAGTGGTCTCTTCCTTCCTTTTCAAAATGTAAGCTCAGTGAGAAACTTTCCCTGCTGACCCCATTTGGGGTACTTTGTTCGCTTTCCTACAAATTGCTGTTTAATGAATGCTGTCGGTATCTGTCTCTATTGGTAGCTGTAGTAGATGTTAAATAAGCCGCTGTTCAGTTCCCAGTGAACAATAGCTGTTACGTGAATCATATGATCAAAGAGGGTGATATTTTGTACCACTTGTCACATGGTACATGGATTTAAAAAAAAAAGAGAGTCCTCAAGAGCTGAACTATCATTGAATATTGAACAATCAGTTTGGGGATGGCCTTTTACCTGGACGGGACGTTTGTGCCATCTTCTCAGCACAATGCTGTGATGTGACTGGCTTAAATGCACTGAACTTCTCAATGGCTGTAGATCCAGTGTAAGTTACATTGAATGTGTGATATTTATAGGGTAGTTTTAGTAGCAGGAGAAGTAATTCCACTGCCAACCTGCACTGAAAAGTGTGTATTTGTCTGATAGTTAAAATCCTGTAGCTAGCAAAAGCCAAGAGCTCTTTGTAGGTTAGCTGTGGTCTGTCTTCATGCATTCTCCCACTTACTGTCCATGTTTTGCTTTGCTATTCTTCTCAGAGCTAGTAATTTTGTGTGATTAGTAAACTAATGGGTGATGATTTTTTTGTTTAAAAAGAAGACACTGTAATGATGCAAACAAAAATTTCCTACATTAGTTTATGATTTCAGCTTAAAAAGTGTGCAGATGATATATTCATGATTATAACTGGTCTAATTTTTTATTATTATTATTATTTATTTAGTATCAAGATTGGAACATGGGCAGAGAAGGGAAACATTTGAAAATATAAAGCATTGTTTGGTTGTTTTTTCATTTCCTGAATTTGACCTATACAGAAGTGGTTTAGGTCTGCTTCACCTGAAAGCCTATTTTTCAAAGATTTTCTTCTTTGTCGAAGAAAAATTTGCTCATCTCCAGGGATAATGACCTTGCACTTATATATTACTATTCCTGCACATGTTTTGCCATCTGGGTCTGACACATATTTTTAGACCAAAGCAGTCGTACCTTTACTCATATTTAACTGATTTCCAATCCCATGTGGAAACACTGATTATCATATTAAGTAGGTTTGGGAATAAGGCGTCTATGAAAATTATTAACATACCTGAATAGGACACATCTTAATAGCTGCATGACAGAGATGTAGGAGGAAGACCGTGACCATGTCATGGAAAAAATGATGGACTGCTTAACGCTGTGTCTCCGCCTGCGCGTGCTGCTGCTGCAGCCCTGCCACCGAGCAGTGCTGTTCTCCAGGAGTACCCCGTTTACTGACCCAACAGCCTGAATTCACCGCTGGCCACAGCCGGGATCACCATCAGCCACACCGCCTCCAGGGTGTTTCCTAATGAAGGCAAATAAAAAGATCTGTAATGTTTCATCTCTTTGGATAAGAGATACCCCAGGTTTTTCACTGCCTATGTAAGTACCCTCTGCTGTGTTCTGCTTTGCTTTCCCCATCAGTCATTACCCATTTGGTCAATACGATCTTGAAATACCATTATCTGTTTGGTTGGGTTTTGTTTGTTTGTTTGTTTTTTAAGGTAGGATATATTCTTCTAGAATATTTCCAGCAAACACTCAAAATCGCACAAAATTAAATGAAAATGAAGGTCTGAATACTTCAGTGTAATACCTTGAGGCAAAGGGGTTGTTTTCATTACTGATTTTTTCACAGTGCTTTCTGTTGTATTTTCAGACATTTATTAGGAGGAAAACAGAGAGCATTTTGCAGGTGTTCAGCACTTCTCTTGCAAAAATGAATGATGTGCTTATTTAGTGAGTACAACTTTAGAGTACGGTGCCATACAGCAAAGCTGAGTAGGCACAACATCCGTGTTCCTACTCTGCCACAGTGACTGAAGAATTACATGATACAGCTCTTCTAGAACTTGACAAGGAATTTTTCATCAAGGAGAATACAGTTTAGAGCAAATAACGTGATTAGTTGGTTTGGTTTGCTATTAAAACCTCCTCCCAGCTTGCTTGTACTTTTATGTATTTCATATAGAACAGTCATTACAAAATAACTGGCATTTCACTAGAGTCTTTAGAAGGGTAGATCTCTTAATAAATTAAAAAAGGGAGGTATCCATAAAGACTATGAAGAGCAGCACATTCCTGAAACACATACTTAATAGGATTCCTTATGAATGTAATGGTTGATTTTGTAAATGACTGGATAAATCCTATGGAAAGAAACTATTTGACCTTATTCTTTGGCTTTTTTGATTATTCTGGAAGGTGATTTTGTGACATCTAGTAGCCAATTTGCATTAATTGCTGCTGTAGAGATTTTGAAATGGAAATATTTGTTCCTTGAATTTTAGTTTGTAACAAGACCGCTATATTTTGTTAGAACTGCTTTGAAGCAATGTGCTATCATTTGAAATAAGCCAAATGTATATGCTTTTTATGAATTAGTGAGTGCAGTAAGAGAGAATTCATGATCTTGTCAATAGGAGCTTTTCTGTTTCCATTGTTTGGACTTGGTTTTATATGTGTAAGTTAAAGTTGCTGAGTAAGTCTAACAATGTTTTGCTTTAAATGAACAGCATGGGCATTGAATTACAATCTCCTGTAGTTTTGTGGTGTCACTAAAACAGGTTTCATTGTTTTATTTCATTTCTGTGATAATTCCACGTGACTCTGAATGTCCAGTAATTAATTTCTTTTATTTAGAGCAATGAAGGCTACGTTAGGCAATACATCACTACCATCAAAGAAGGACCAAGTTTTGAAATGCTCTGCATGTTAAATAATGCAAGGCTCAGCAGGAGAATTTGATTGTCATATTTCTCGTCCATATCACTTAGTTTCTGTTTTTTCCAAGTTATTTATTATTTTTAATATTGTATTTTTCCTTGCATTTTGTTGTAAATAAACTACCAACAATTATTCTTTACAATTGTGGCTATTTTCTTTTCCTAGGTGTCCTCTAGCAAGGAACATAGCCATTAACGTTTCTACCCCCATCTCTGCAAGTCATTTCCTCAAAATTAAATAGCACAAACAATTGGCTTTGTAACAAAAAATCAAACCATTTCTAGGTTTAAATTCTAAACCACATCTACTAGCTGTGCCTCAGCTTTTTCGAGATTTTATCAGGGCAGGTGCCCCATCATTATGGTTTTAGCCCATTCATTTGTAAATGACCATTTGGTTGACAAGGTTTTCAGTAGGCAATCTAATTCTCTATGCAGGGTTTGGCAGCCCAGTGTTGTTGTAAATAGTGGAAAATACTGGAAAAGAGACCACTCAAAACTTCTCAGGCTTGTCTACAAGTAAATTACTTTTAGTCAACCAAAACTTAACATGCACAATGATTCTTTAAGATTTTAAGTAGAGGCTTACTCCACAGAAACGGAGCTTTCTCCGCACCAGAAAAATGGTAGTCGCATGTTCAGTATAGAAATGCTTCACAGTGGCGTAGGGTAGGACACAAGGAACAAACATGGGCCTAAAAAATATTTAATGTAGAAATCACATGGTACAAGCGAGATGGGAGCCGCGCGGGTCTGCGGTGATGACGGTGATAACGTCTCAGCGCGTTAGGACCCTGTGGGGTACGGGCTGGGGCCGTGCCCTGTGAATGGCCGGGGTCTGGCCGGGTCTTGGCCGCCAACGCGAGGTTGTGACTGTCCTTGATGAGACACAACCACGGCTGGATTCCTCAGCAAGCAAATATATCAGGGCTGAGTCCCCGAAATTACAGTGCTGGCAAGATGTGTTCCCCAACAGCGGTCCACAGCCAGCAGTGATGTGCCTCATGACGGGGCCTGACCTGATCTGGTGTTGGTTTGGTTTGACTTGATGGTTTGTAGTTTGGGCTGGTTTTGCTAGGGTTTTGTTAAAATTTGCACACAAAATACTGATGCGTGAAAATGTTACAAATTGGTTAAAAACCTGAACCTGATCCTACCGCTATTAGAATTGGCAGAGTTGGGTTGTGCAGAGGGAAAAGACTCCACCCTTTATTCTTCACAAAAATGAGGAATCTCGTAGGGCAGAAATATGTTTAGTTAAGGTAGTCTTAAAGCCAACAATGTTTTACTGTGTAGATGCAAAACTACAGAGGACTCTTATCCAATGTCCTCGTGCTAATCTGCATGTAAATGACACCTCTTCTGCACGATAAGACACTCGTAGGACCAACGGTGTGAGTGGCCGTGGAAACGATCTCATTAATTCCGCGCACGATATACGCTGGAAACATCTGAATACAGGAAATGCGGTTGACCGTCCTGCTTTGTAAGGGTGTTCTGAAAAATTAATGGCTCTTCTTCTGGTTTTACAATATGTCAAATATCCAGAACGCACCGTATTTTCGTCCCCGCTGGCGAAGCCCCCGCTCCGCCCGGGAACCGCCAGTCCCGACTGGGCACCGCACCCCATCGCGACACGACTCTCCCCCGCCGCGCCCGGAAACTCTCGAGCGGCCTCGGCCCTTTCCGCCGCTGCGCCCAGTCTCGCGAGAGGCGGCGGATCGCGAAGATGGCGGCGCTGTGCGAGAGCTTCACGCTGTGCGGGCTGGGACCTGGCCGCGGCCTCCTGGCGCTGGAGCCGGGCCCCGGCCCCGACCTCGTCCTGCTCACCGACCGCGGCAGGACGGCCACGCTCTGCAAGGTAGCCTCTCGCCCTCGGGACGCGCCGCCGCCGGGCAGCCCCGGCCTGTGGGAGGGTTCCCCCGGGCAAGGCCGCGGCGGCGCCTCCTCTCTCCTGCCCCGGCCCGGCGGGAGCGCGGCCGGGCCCCGCTGACACTGACACCAGGCCGCCCCCCGCCCGGCTGCGCCCGCGGCGCTCGGCTGGAGGGGGCCTGGCTCCTGCCCCCGGGGCCTGGCTCCCGCCCCGCTCCCGCCGCTCCCGGCCTGCCAACCCGCCGGGCTGCTGCCGCCTCGGGCGGGCGCTGGCGCTGTTTTCCTTTCGCCCGTTTGCTCTCGCCGTTCCCCGAAGGAACGTTCCGCCCCGAGGCTGCAGGGTACGCGACGGCTCCTTTTGCAGGAGCCAGGGTGACACACGTTCTGTCCGGCTGTCGGCTTCGTGTCAGCTGCCTTGTTGGCTGGAGGATGAAAGATTTTAGCTTGCAGCACTTGAAACTAAAAGTATGTTCTGGTGCCTTTTAACGTATGCATGTATTTCAGTAGACCGTGGTGAGAAACTTAAGGAAAATATTTGGCTTTATATTCTTCATTCGCCTTCACATTCATGGCACTAGGGATTGTATCTTAGTGGATTCATTATACAACCTCCTTTGGGTCCTTCAGTCCCACAGCTAAGACCATACACGAGAACATAAATATGTTGCTAAATACGCCCAGTGTAGATCTAGGCTGAGGAGAGGGGGTTGAGTACCCTCAGAGCAGCCAGAATTAAGTCATACATAACGTGAGTTTAGACAGTAAAATTAATTGCTCATTGTCTCAGTAACTTACATTGAAATAGGAAGAGAAGAAGCGTGACTGTGCGTGACTGTATTAGTGAGTAAAGGTAACTTACACTGGTGATTAAACATAATGCCTTCACTTTGGAAAAGCCATGCATCATACATGTGTTTCATGACATAAGCCCACCTGACTCACATGCCAAAGTTATTTCTTATGTGAAAACAAATTATTTCCAATTTACGTAGAATTCTTTCAGGTTACTCTGAATTTTTTGGTATTAAAGTCAGAAACAGGAGTGCTCTAGCAGAAGTTCTGAGTACATCAGTTTCCATACTTCCGTATTCTCATTCAAATCGGATATGGCTACCTTGCATTTCCCTTGTGTCATGAGATAATTCCCATACATGCACCATGCTATATTTTAATTACAGTGTCTTTGTTCTGACTCTTCCAGGTTTCAGATCAGAAGCCACTAGGTTGTTGGTCGGTTAAACATGGGCAGGTTATCACATGTCCAGTTGTATGCAACTTTGAAACTCATGAATATGTAGCTGTTCATGATGACAAGGTGAGATGTTTTATCTTTCTTAAAGGAAAAAAAGGAGGTGGTGAGTCTTCAGCGTGAATGTAGATAGGGAGCAAACAGCAGTGCTAGATTTTTGGCTAAGTGTAAAAATGGAGATCTTACCACCGTCTTGCAGTTCAGGTCACCTCTGCTCTCTGAGGACAGGGACGTGCAGCTCTGCAGCTGCACAGTGTGTTCCTTCGTCAGGGAGATGAAGTTAATCTGTGCTGAGCACCAGTTGTGCAGTGGCCTTTTAAAAACAAGTGTTCTTGGTGGAGAATGCCTCATGCACAAATTCTGTAAGGATAAGTTATTTCTCGTGTTGCAGACTGGCTGACATTTAGAACTGCATGATTAATGTACTGAAATGGTTAAAATTCACACCTGTATCTTTGGTTTTGAGCTCACATTTTACAGTTAAACGTTTCCTGTTTGTGTACTTGTAGTGTGTGCTCAGCATATGATGAACCTTTGGCTTTTTTTTATTGTTGTAGATGACATATCTTTCTTGACCTTTCATTGTTCTCTTTGCAATATTCTCCTCCAGATCTGGTCATCTATATCTTAATCTGTCTCCATCACTTTGATCTACTTTAATTTAAAATTCTGCTGTATCTTTTTCCTTAGCCTTACTCTTTCCTTCCCTTTCTTTCCATTTCAATATTTCTGAGCTTGGTTTGTATTCCTGTTGTCTCTGCTTCAGCTTCTTGCTACACAAACTTCCCCTGGGTCAGATTCCACTAAAGTTACTGTGTATACTTTCTGTATATTCTCCTCCTGTGTTTCAGTGATGTGCAGTTGCTAGAATTTTGTGTGTTGAGAAGTCTATACGTTACTGTTTTACTGTGCTTAAAAAATTATGCTTCTCTTAAAGGTTTTAAGAATATGGAAGAACACAGATACTAATTTGGACAAAGTATTTAAAGCAACAGTAAGTCTCTTACGTATGTTCACTTTTATGTTAATGTTTTGATCCCCGGTGGAGGGAAGAGATGATAATTTGCATAGTACTAGTAATATAACTTTAGCTGACCATTGTCTTAACTTGCACTTCATGATGTTCTGGAATATTGCAAGGAGTCCATTTGGACTGAGAGACTCAATTTACACTTCAAGTGATTTGTAGCCCAAGTCCAAAGTTTCAGAGGAACTTCTTTAAAGATGGTGAATTATGTTTAAATACATATTTTTCTGTTCTGCTGGTGGTTGTGTTAAACAACACTTTGTGTTATGCTGTATGGCAGTTGTTTGAACTTTTTACCCTCAATTTTGTTTTTCTTTGACATGATTCAGAAATGTGATGCTCATAGGGATGCTTTCCTGGCTTTTTCTTGGGTAGTGATTTATGATATTTGTAGGATTTCAGAAAATTTGCAACTACTAGGCCTACATTATTAAGAATCTTACAGATTCATAATTCTTCTGTTACTTGTTTATTGAAAGAACTGAAAAAAAAAATCACAGATAAAACACTTCGCTTTCAAGGTAATGTACTGAAGAAGATAGAGTTGTTTTTTTTCTCTATAGCTTTCAGCTGATGTATACAGAATACATTCACTACCCAATGGAGGGCCAGTGGTACTATTCAGAGGAGGTGGTGTTCGAACTTTAGATGTTCTTTTGGAAGCCCCACAACAAGAAATTGAAAACATTGTCTCGGACGAAGTCATCAAGTAAGTGATATGACTTTATGAAGTTTGCTTCTTGTTCAGAGGAATTGATGAGGATGATGATGAAAGTTTTTCCCTTTTCTGAGGGAATAGGGGAGAAATCTAAAGACCAAGATCTTGGGGTTGTTTTGGGGTTTTTTTCCCAACACATTTTTGGGGTTTTAAAATCTTAGACTTATTTATACGGATATCCTAAAAATAAGAGGCTGCCTAAGGAATAATGTTATGACTTTAGGTATAGTCCTAGAATTCAGAAGACATTCATACAGCTTTCTGGTTTTAGGTGGAGTGAAGCTTTTATGGAAGGTCAACAGCCTGTCTTAATTTTTGCTACTGAGAAAGTAAGTGGAAAACTTTTTTTAAAAAACTTTTATAGCAGCAAATCTAAGTGCTTTTTCTAAAATCCATCACCTGTTTCATTGGGCTTTAAGAACTTTTAGTGAAATCTTTATCCTGTTTTAATCAATATCCTCCATATGTATTGTTTCTGATACACAGTTAAATTTAAGTTGCTTTCAGGGCTGAGGAGTCTGGCTCTTAGAACTTCAGAGAACAATTAATATTAAATACAGTAGACAATTGTGTGGCTCTTCACTGCCCTCAAATACAGGATTTGTTTTGTTTTGTTTTGTTTTTTTAAAAAAAGCCCTATACACAAATCTGTCTTTATTCAAATGCTTCTTCCTGAGAATCCATTCGTTTCATCAAATCAGAACTTTCTTTACATGCTTGAGTCTGTAAACATTTCTGAATTGGGCTGTATGTCTTATAGAACAGATTCCTGATTTTTCTTAACATTAAAGCTAACCAGTACTAATATCTGAATTTCTGTTATCTCTTTGTGTAAGTTAAAAGAAAACTTTCTTTTTTTTGTTTTAGGACGGGGATTTTTTTATCTACATACAGAAACTTAAGATGAATAGTCTACACAAATATAAGCTTGAGCAACATGAATTGTCTAAACCACTGAGTTTCACGGCATACATAAAAAATCAAATAATCACACTTCTGTGTTTGTGTAAGTTAAATTTTCTGGTGGGATGTGGTAAAAAAGCAAAGAATTGTATGGAAGGACACAAGATGTTGATATTTACGAATTCCTATTTAATATTTTTATCTCTTTAAACTTTCTAAAACAGATAGTGGTAGAAGTAGTAATTAAATCTTCCTGATACTTTAATGGCTGCAAAGGCTGACTGTTCCTAAATATTATGACTTGTACATGCAGATCTCACACTAGCTATGCTTTTATTTTGCTGCTTTACGTCATAACGTGTCCTTTAAATATCCTGTGTTATTTCTTCTTTCAGCACTTGCTGGACTTTGTTCTCTTTGGATGTCCTCTTGCCATATCATATCAAATAGTTTCTGCACAATAACAGATGTTAAAAGCGGCATCACTTTTCTTTGACAGATTCCAGTGACACTGTGTACAAGGTTCTGATACCTCTCCAGCAAAATACTGAAGAGAAAGAGCAGATTTTGTCCAAGTCACTACTCCTAAACCTTTCGGTATCTGGAAGTGTTCTAAAAGGAACTTCTTTTGTTGTTCTTGATAAAGACCACATTGCCGTATTAGGAAGTCTAGCTGCATCTGGTGAAGAATCCAGAGGTAACTTGAAAAGTCAGATTAATATGTTCTGTAGTCTAAAATGTCCTTAGGCAAAGCACAAAGCAGGAGATAGTGTAAATAAAATTTTAGTTGGCTCTTGAAACTAATACGTAGCTGAGCTGTGCCGTTCAGAGCACTAGCTGAAAGGTAACCTTTACCGGTGAACTGCGGATTGGGTGGCAGGACTATACTCACTGTTGTGTTTCAGTATTTGATTTTATGGTGTTTGTGAAACGGTTGAGAAGCAGCAGCAAGAGAATTCACGGATGGAAGGGAATTAAAAGGAGGACTTGGACACTTGCAGAAGAATCAACGTGGGGAAACAGACCTGATGTCCTCTAAGAAACCAGTGTTTAAAATAAGTAAAACAGACATTTCAGCCTTATGCCTAAACTACTGAAGTGTGGGATCACTGAAAGTTAAGCCACTGAACATAGCATTTTATAACAAAATGCTCTTCCTGACTGTAAGCCACACTGACTGCTGTCCCTCTTGCTACAGCTTCTTAGTTAAAGCTCTCCACTGGAAAACTAACTAATTTTTAGATATTTTGCTTGAGATCTAACTAGAATGACTTAATTCCTAATGTTGAATACATTACTAAGTGAGCTATTTTGAAAGTTATTTCTATTCCTCAAGTGTTTTTAACTGAAAGTAGCAAAGGCAAGTGTAGCTTTTAAGTTGCTTTTTGGGTTTGTAACATCTGTCTCTTAATTTCCTAGAATGCCTAACAATCTGGAATACAAAATTTCAGACATTGCAAACTTCAAAGGAACTGCCTCTGGGAACCAGTGGACAAGTAAGCTCAGTCTTTAATTTGTGGTCCTTAAGCATTTGGCATGATAGCAGTGAAGATACTGGTGGGCTTCAGAGCTCTGCTTCTGTCTGGAAGAGCAGCACATGCCAACTCCTGAAGCAATATTGACCATCTGATGAGCAATTTTTGTTCAGAATATTTAGCAGAATAGTGGCTTATGGCAATTTCTTTGATAATTCAGTGCTGTCTCACTTCTGATGGTCTTGATTATTTTGGGAGAATGAAATAGCTAATTAGACAGAAAACCCAGCCATATCTATTCTGTTCCAACAATTTGCAATTGACTGCCTACACAATCCCTGCATCTCCCTAAATAGTTTTTCAAGATATTCAGGTGTCAATTAGTGATAAGTAAACTGACATCTAAGTAATAAATGCACTCGTGAAATAGAATAACTGACTGTTTTTATCTTAAAATTGGACAAGAGGTAATTTCAAAAATAAAATTATCAAGTGGCCTTAATGCCTTATAGCAGCCACTGTACTTAAAGACATCACTGGAAAATACTCAACAGAATGCTTCTTATTTCTGTATTTAAAATCGACAGTTAATGAAGGTGTGTTAACAAGTGTTAAACCTAACAAAAATAACTTAAAATACTGTGATTGCTGACTGTTAGCTGAATTTTTTAGTAAAGAGTTAATCATCAGCTTGTGCAGGAACACACTTCTTTGCTCATCTCATTAATGATATGTTTTAATATTTTGTAGTTGTGGTGTTACGAGGAAAAATTTTTTTTTATTCATGGGAAAATGCTAACAGTGATTATGTACAAGTGTGAAACATCATCTTTGGCAGCTGCTGTGGGAAAACTCAAGGACAGTCAAACCCCTGGTAAGAATTTTTATAATTACAATAAAAAAGGTCTTGAAAACTTCTGAAACTGTATAAGAATTATTTTCATACAGTCCTATAAAATCAATTTAATCTAAACAGCTTGAAGTAACCCACCACTGTATTCTGTTCCTAGCTGTTAAATTTACTGTTGCCGAGAATACCGAAGCACACAAATGTCTGAATTTATTGTAGCTTCACTTAATCTGGGTTGTCATTTTAATACTGGAATTACTGAAAATACTGGAAATCTAGCTATGAATACTGAAAGCAGAATGAGATGCTGACTCCTATAAATTATTTTCAAAGAGTCTGTGATTAGATAGGGCAATGTCAAACCTTAATTTGTAAACTTTAGTTTAAAATTGTACTGTCATAATGTCTTTAATGTAGCATTGCACCAGTAAAATACTGTTGCAAGTAATGCTCACAGAAAATTGTGTAATAACTTATTTCTCTTCCTACCAGAAGCTAAAATGGAAAAACAATATGCAAAAAGGGTCATAAAATGACCTGCTGCTGAGATAAAACGGGAAACTTTCTCGGCATAAAATAACTTGGATTATACTATAGGAAATACCGATTAGTATAAGAAGTTGATGTAATAGTCACACTTCAATAAATGTGCTTTAAGTGTTACCATCATATAGTTTCATTTTTGTGTTCACAGATGTGTCTACATTTGTAAACTGGAATACCCTTGGGGATGAAGAGCTGGTGGTTTCCTTTCAGTCACAGAAGACTGTAGCTCTAAAATCTGAGTCCAGAATGAGCGTAAGTTAGCATTAAGAGCATGTGAGGTTTTTGTTGTTTCTCTTGTCTTTTCCCCATGCTGCTACTTTTACTTTTAGGTGGTGTAGCAAAAGGAAATTTCACATGGTATTTGTCACTCATTGTTTCTATCACTGTTTCTGGAATTGGATTATCCAGTTGCTAATTATAATCTGTGCAGCAAGTTGACACATGAAGTTCCTAGTTATCTTGATTGAAATCCTTAAATATATACCACTTTTTGGAGCTGAATAATATCTTTTTGTTTTTCTTTATAGTTAAGATCAAAAAGGAACACTGTTGCTGAAGTACAGCCAGCCACCTTATCAGTTGGGCAGCTCTTACTAAACATAAAAGTAAGTAAACCAAATATCCTAAAATAGTGTTTTAGGCACTCTCAGAATATTCTAGCTGTCTCTTAAGCTATTATCTTTTCCCATGTCCTCTTGCACGTATCAAGTTGACAAAGCTGCCTTAAACAGGTGAGTTGGAGGATATTATCATTATTACTGTGCTAGAATAGTATGTAGACATGATGAAATAAAAGTTTTGTCATAAGATTGTGTTCTAGAACTGTACAGGGTTTATAATAGCTGAGTTCTGAAAACTTGCACAAATTTGTTCGTTTTTAATGAAAGTCTTCTCTTACAGTAAATAAAGTGGGAGGATATTTCACTTGAACTCTGCTTTTTTAGATTCTTATTTATGGCTTTAATTTTATTGAAGTCATTTTGGATCTAGAAAGTCTGAATGGTAGAAATTCCACTGCAGATAAAGCAATAAGGTGTTTAGTTCCTTTCTTAAACTTGCTGCAAGTGTTGTGATACTTCAAGTTGCATCCTTTCCTGTGTGAACATACCAATAGTTCAGCTGTGGATGGACATCTTGGTAATGTTACTGCAGTAACAGGTGAATAATCCCTGAGCAGTTATTGAAAGATACTGCTTACCTGGGTTCAGAGTAATTGCCCTCATTGGGTTCTTTCATGCTTGAGAGATTCTACCAAAGTAGAGAGTGGCGAGGGGTTTCTGTGAATTTTTTTTTTGCTTGAAATGCAAAATAAGTCTGTTTCTACTTGGTCTAATTAGTAATAGTAGAATTCTCAAACCTATGCCATGTGTTTCTGAGTTGCACAGTACTTGTCATTTTCAGGATGCTTCTACAACTGCATTTGAAAATGAATTGAGACAATTGATGTCAAAAGCACAGATGCCAGATCTCCAAGCCACCACTGGATGTGTAATAACTGCTCTTATAAATAGATGTAAAACAAATCCAAAGTACTACCCTCGAAATTTCCTGCTACAGATAGTCGAGACCCGAGACTTGTCTTACAGGTGATGATTCTGCATTTTTTTTAATTGTAAGGAATAGTCTTTAAAAATAAAAATTCAAAAAAAAAAAAGTAGAAATCCATTTTTATATAAAGCACTCTTGATTTATTGGCGTTTACTATCGAAGGTGCTTATGCTTATTTTCTGATGAAGCTGACACTCGCCAGATGGATTTTTGTGTAAATTAAAGTTAATACTTCTGCATTAGTTGTCAATGTAGTTTTAAGTGGGTGTGAACTGTACAGCCTATTTATTTCATATTCTTACAGTTTATGTCCAGATTTAATGGCTGTTGCTTTGGAGAAAAAAGATGTGTATCTCTTACAACTCTGCTTACAACAGTTTCCAGATATTCCTGAAGAAATTACTTGTGCTTGCCTGAAAGTATTTTTAAGGTAAGGTAGAATCACTTTTTTTTTTTTCCTATTTTTTTCTTCACCAAACTAAGCCCCATAATGAAAAGCTCTGTGTTGCCAAGAATGGCTTGAATTTTATAGATGAGCAATTAATACTGCACATTAAATTCTTAATTCTGAGTACAGTGTATGTTGCAGTCTTGCAGACTGACAAACCTTTTACAAGATGTCTGCTGCATGTTAATTGTAAAGACTATGTAAACGCTAATTAAATGAACACTGATGGCTTGAATGGTGTTTGCATCCTTCTACATACATTGTTACAGCTAGATGTTTACTGTGCAACACACTTTCCTGGGGTAAGAAGCCCACAAAAAAAAATTAACTCTTCTAGGTTCATGACAAAAATGGTTTTCATATCCCAAAAGGGATGATGTTTTAGATGGGTGCTGCAACCAAAAAACTGTTGTAACTGTTGTCTATGCTTCCAGAGCAAAAGCGATTCTTTTTTTTTTTTATTGGAAACATCAGATCTTGTTCATTTCATATCTTAGAATTTTCAAATATTTTATTGCTAAATATTAGGAAAATCCTAACTGTCTTACAGGCTGAAGCAGTCCCACTAATGTCAGAATGCAGTAATAGTCTTGAATGGGGTATAACCTTTAAATCAGCCCATGAGAGAATGTCTAATAATTCAGCAATTTACATTGTTGGAATAAAAGAGCAGTACACGTATTCTTCAAGGTTAATAATTACAAAATATTAACTGTTCTATCATGTCCTTTATTCATTCTGCAAGACTCTGTATTTCAGTATATGTTTTCACTTTTATAGTAAGCTTCAGAGAGTTCATAGTGCTCACTACTGTTGATGGCATTGCTGATCTTAAAGGTGGTAATTTAAACGTGTTAAATATCTGAAATTTTCTTCTACAGTGTGAGTGAAGCCTATCTTCAAAGAATAGATGTGAATCTAGAATCTGTAATCTGTTACATTGATATTGAATTCCACAATAAAGAGGTTAAGAGTGAAATTGTAGAAAATGGTTTCAATGCGGAGCTGGAACAAGACGTCTGGGATACTAAAACCACAAAGGAAACCCATCTGAAGACTGATGGTGAATTCTGCCCTGTTGGACCACAGAAGGCAGCGTTACTGTATCCTCTTGATGTTTTAATGAAGGAAAGTCAGTGCGTTATATGTGATGTGAATGTTTATATTCAGTATTACTAAAAGACATATCTTGTTATGTTGAAAATTTTTGAGAAGTTACAGTAGGAGAAGTTCTGATAAGAGAAGTTCCTACTCAGTAGAAAAATTGCTTAGAAGACAAGTAGAAATAATTAACTTTCAGAAAGCATTTTCACCAATTTAAATTTGAATTATTGCAAAAGTGTAATAAAACTTCATCTATTCAAGAGAAAATAGTAGCAATGATTTTGATGTTTCCCTGTTGAAACATGAGCCAATTACATACTTGCAGCAAACAGAACTGTTCAAGTGAACTGCATTATAATATTTCAGTTGCTGTATATATTTCATGATAGAAATAATAGAGATTCAAAAAGATGAAATATGACCTCTTTCAAAGAACCTAGAGATATATTGTAATTAAAATTCACTTCAGTTTGTAGAAACTGGTATTTTTGCCTAATAATTTTATATCCTCAATAGTACTACACAGAAATGCTGTTCTCCATTCAGCTTACAGTGAAACATTTCTTTTGCCTCATCTGAAAAACCTTCCAGCTGAGCAAGCTGTTGTAAGTATGTTAAAATTAAAAAGTTTAAAACCCCTTATTATTTTGGGGGGAGGGAAAGGGAAGAGAGTTTTTCAATTGTATATCAGAAACTTGCAACTCTTACTGGAGTCTGAATCACAAACTAATGCATTCAAATTAAATTAAAATGCCTAATAAGATTTTATGTTAATAAATGTCACGTTTTTCCATATACATATGGAACGTCTACTAATTTTTGTAGTTCCTGCTTATTTTATAAAATGTAAGTATGAAACCCTCTTTATGAACTAGTCTACTTAGAAAATGTTCATATTTTGCTAGCAAGCATAGTACCTTTCTTGATTTGTATGCTTTTTAAGAAAGGAATGAGACGTGCTAATTTAGTCAGTTCAACCAGAAACAGAAGTTTACAAAATACGAAAACCAAACTAAACTATGTAAAATGCCAGATGTAATACAAATTAAACGTAAGTATTCAATCTCAGATCCTCTGTTTAAAAAACAAACAAAAAAAAAAAAAAAACAAAAAAACCCTCATTTGTCCCTCAAAACCTGAAATACAACTTCAAGAACTGCATGTACCCTAGCACCTGAGCATATATATGGTTTTCTAGTGATTAAAAAAAACAAAACAAAACAAAACAAAACCAAAGCTGATCTTAGCACTGATTCATCTCCTTGATTTTTTTGGAGAGAGAAAGAAATTGTTGACTTGTACTCAGCACAACATGATGTTGACCTGATTCTGACTGATAGTTTATTGTTGGCTACTGAAACTGGGACTAAAATTGTTAATGTTACAGTTTTTAGCAAAGTTCCTAGAAAAGTCTGTGTCTGAATTAAGTTGCACTGACACAATCACTGGAACAACAATTACCCCTGAATGTAGCTTTAAGCTGAATATTGCTGAGAATTTTCAAACATCTAGCTATAGATGGTGTAGGAGAACCATAAAATTTACTCTTAATGTGTAGTATACAGGCATCTATGTTGATTTAAAAAAAAAAAATTAAAAAACCTTACAAGTATTGCTGTGTGCAGGACAAAACTTACCAGTCTATTCAATGTTTGTCCTTTAAAAATATTCTGACTTCTCTACTTATAGCTGTTTCTCAGGTATTTATACTACCTGTATGTGAAATGCAGTGAAAAAATTAATACTGCTCTTCCCGGAATACGCGCTCCAACTATAAATCAGGTGAGAAGCTAGTTCTAAGAGCTGTACTTCCTTCGGTTCTTCTGGTGTGTAACATAGTGAGTAGTTGTGAATATCTAAAATTAACTACACTAATTCTGTATTGTCAATATAACCTGTGTGAAGTCAAATGTAACACAACGCTTTTTACTATGAGAAAATAAATATACTGCCTTAAAATATGAAACCACACATTTTGCATTAGAAGTTAATGTTTCAGAGTTCAGCTTTTAAAGCAAAATCTGTGTCCTTTACTTACCATAAAGTGTAAATCTGCTTTTCTTGTTTATCTTCAGATTATGGATTGGATGTGCCTATTGCTTGATGCTCACTTCACAGTTATGGTGATGCTACCAGAAGCAAAAGAGTTGCTTTCAAACTTGCATAAGTTTGTGAGAGCCCAAGTAAGTTGCATCTTCTGGGATAATTATTTCATTTTAGTATGGATTTAGAATAATATATTAAATAATATCTGTTCTTTGTACATTCAATCCTGAGCATGAAATGGCAGTTGCCGCTCTTTCTCATTTTGATTTCAAAAGCTGCTATATTTACTTGGTTTAAATATCTGAAACTGCAGAACCACAGATAGTTCCCCAGTATGAAAATAATTAAAATTTAGTGCAAATATCTGTGTTTTCTTCTTTTTAGGTACGGTTCTACTCCGAACTCAACAAGATTGAAGGAAGTTTGCGAGAATTACAAAGACTTAACCACCAGAGAGACTCTCAGACATATTCTATTGAAGTGCTGGAACTTATTTGAATTTTAAATTAATTATTAACACATTTACTTTTTATTGATTCCTTTTATGATGAGGATGTATTAGCACTCCATATTGGGGATGTGAAAAGTTGTTTCCTACATAGGAGGAGCACGGTTACTCTGAGGCTACATGAGAGTTGTAAGTTTGAAACTCATGAATTAAAAACTCTCTTTTTGACTGGATGAGAAGCTGGATGCTTGATTATATTTTCATATATAGGGGGTTTTTTATGTATTCATAAGAACATCCTAAAATACCACATAATTCTTGGCAAAGAATTAGGATATTTGCAGTAAGGCTTCAAGAGATGTTTTATCAAATGAATTGACATTTTTATTCTACTTGCTTCTTTTACTTAATAGTTGAAGTTTCTGATTAGATTCTTCAGAGTTCTCTTATCTCCACTCACATTATGAACTGTAGCTGAACTCATTTGAGTTTGCAGCTTTTTCTATTTTTAAGTGGTTTTACTTTGTCTAAAGAGGTCTTTGACATTTACAGACTTAACTTAAACAAGGAAGGGAGCTTAAGTGTAGGTATGGGGTTATTATCTAACTCACACTGTTTTCTCTCTTCTGTATGTCATGGTATCACAACTTGTTAGTATACCCTTTCATGCTCCTTTTCAGTCCAACCAGGTCCTTGAATGCTGCCTTTAAAAAACAGAAGGGAGGGCATTATGTAGAGGTTAGTAGTTAAAATCTTTAATTGCAATAATCTGAAGTTGTTTTGATGCATCTCATATCTGATAAGGCCGCCTGCATCCAGAAGCTGCCCACAGCTAGAGAAGGAAGAGATATACAGCAGGAACTAGACTCCTTCCTCAAATGAAGAAGCAAAGTACAGTTACTCCATGGGATGTCTTGTTACAGTCTATCTCAGAGGTTGCCCTCAGCTGAAGATGACACTTTTTTCAAGCAGAGAGACTGCTCATCTAGAGCATGCTCTCCTGCACAGACTTTCAGAATGGGGTTACTGGATTTCAGCATGATTAGCTGTACTTCAAGAGTTTTTCTTTAGAAATTTCTGAAGTTTTCTGATGTTGAAAGATTGAATCCAAGATAGTTCCTGCTTTTTAAATACCTATCTCTTGAAGTCTTGCCTATATGCATTTGAAGCTTTGGGGGAAAGGAAGGGGAGCATAAAAATAACATTCAGGTAAAATTTAATGCTATGGACCTCGGAGTGAGCTTGACATGTCTTTGAGCTGACCACAGAACTGGTAACTGCCAGCACAGCTCAGAGCAAGAATGGTGTCTTGCCTGTTAGATTGGACCAAAGAACTAACCTGTCTGAAAATAACTTCTCTCTTCGGATAGTGATTTTTTTCTGATAGTGCTGACTTAAGGATATGTCACTGGACACAGGAGACATCCGGTTTGATTTGGAGCAGGATGTTGGAAATGATTGTTTGAATAAAAGGCTCCTTAACTTCTGTCAGATTAAACTTGCCTGAGAATAAACAACAGTATTTTCTTCCTATCTCTGGCTAGAGCTAGAACACAGATTATTATGGCTGAAGTGCTAGGTGCACAACTTACTGGACTTTGGCAGTATAACTTTGAAACAGCTGCACACAGTTAAAAGCCTTAAGGCTATTTGAAAGTTGACATGTTTTAGTTGCATACACTGTTTTCCGAGGTCAGTACCAAATGTATGTAATAGTAAAATTTGAAAAACACTGAAATGGACAGCTGAAGAATCACGTAGAGGGGTCATTTTTGGCAGTGGCAGTAGCTGCTTTTAATTTTCTGAACAAGAAAACTTATCTCAAATTTAAATTTACATTCTTACATACATCAGTGTCTGTTTTTTCCAACTACTTTTTTAGAGAATGAACACCTCAAATTAACCTCATCTAAATTGATTGTTCTATACAGGGTGAATTTTAGCATTTCATAGTATGTCTCAGCTTTAGATTTGTTTTGACCATGTATTTAAAAAAATAAAAGATTAAACTTTCATCAAAGTGATGCTTGTTGAAGGTGTTACAGGTATAAGCATCTATTGAATTGTGCTTCTTGTTTGGTGTTCAGTTAAGACTTGTCACAAGCTACTTCTGGGACTGAATATTCATCTAAATGAAAGCTCATCTAGGATAGGGGAAAATGGAACAGAGAGGCTAGATTTCTTGAGGTCCAGTATGGATGGCAGGGGACAGAAGCCTTCAGAGAAGATAAACATACATCAATACATGTTCAGAATAGCAACTAAGATGTTAAAAACTTATTTTTACTAATAATGTGATTGAATATCAATATAATTCAGCATAACAGTATATTGATATAGTTTGGTTTTCATCATACTAAATAAAATCATAACATACTAAATTATATCAGTACAAGTCATGTATGCCCTTATTTCCCAAGACTATTTAGTCTACAGCTGAGCTCTAGTCTAACATTACTCAGCAAAACCTTGGTACCTTATAAATGTACATGTAACTGATTCTAGAGCTCAATACTCAAATTCAATGCCTAATACATGTTATAAAATAATTTGGAGGGAATGACTGGACAAAAGCAGCTCAATAATTTAAGCAAGAGCATATGCTCACTTGTTATGAATGCCATCCAGCTGTAGGGTCTTAAGTTCTTTCCCTTACCCTTGGAGAAAGGAACCCATCCAGACACCAGCTTGGAACAACTAGGCTATTCATCTTCTCCAAAGTGCCTTTTGAAAGGAGTCTTTCTCTCCATCTGTCTTGAGTATGGGGGCAGCATAGGGCCTCCTACCTAAAATTCCTCTTCCTGCTGTACTTAATTCACTTACAAGCATGCTCATTTAACTATACCCACAGACTCGAAATAGGACCTTCACGTTCCTAGTGGAGATATGTTTTGTTCTTAGGAATGGGCACGCATAGGTGAGTGGGTTAGGGTGTTATGGTTGATTTCTCTGTACTGAGCTAATCTGTGTGTTGGAAAGGATTTATTTTAGGCCTGACTCTGGAAGTTAACATACCTCTCTATGCATCCATTTCTCCACCTACAAAATTAAAATTCTTTATGTCCTATTCAGTGAGGACTTCCACATCAACAACTGATACAGTTTATTTAAGAGATGGGATTAAGAGACAAGGTATTCTCGTTCACAGTATTCAAAAGCAAATGCTTCTTAGCACCTGTGATCTACTACAGGTACACAAAATCCACAGTAGAGTTGTTAACACTCATAATGCTACAGATTGTGTGAATATTAGTGCAGAAGATACACCAGATATATTTCCTAGATTCTCAATGACTGCATAGATGGCAGAATTCACGGGTATTTTTTCTAAGATCACAAAGGGATATAGTGAAATAACATACCTCAAAACATGTATCTGTGTATTCATGTATTTAAACCATTACCATAATCCTTTGCACCCTTGTAAGAGGTTGCAAAAATTAGCCTGACATAAGCAATCTCAAGGTAACCGAAAGATTTGGAATACAAATTGAGTATAAAGGTGTTTGGGGGTTAGGCAGTGTTGTCTACTACTGTTGCTGTGTCTGTATCGCACTATGTCTAGAACATGGCTCCGAGCCTTTGCAGCTGCACCACTGAATATAAAAGCGTGCAACTGAATATAAAAGAGATGCAGATTAAAAGCTGGATATGAGTGCAAATTGGGCTAAACCCTGCTGCCTGGTGCTATTGTGACAGTGTTGCATGCTTGACACTGCAGCAGGTTTGTGGGTTTAATGAGGTTCTCAGCCTGAGCAACAGGTTCATGAACAAAAGGCAATTCAAAAATCACTATGGAAGAATGCCAATTAAATTACACATTGGACATGTAACTGGCATGCTTATGCCATGACCAGTATTGATTGTACATCATACAGAAGCGTAAGCAAGGGCCTGAGAGAAAATTAAAATGTAAAAACACTTATTTGCTGACACTAGGACTTCAGACTCTGGGATCCCAAAGTAGTAGATTTTGCAATGAGAAGAGGGCTGGTTTTAAGAAATGCGAGACATTTGCTTGCCTTGGGCTAGCTTTCAATTTGTACTGCTATTGCTCTGGAAACCGATACCCTGAATTCAAGTGGTGGCATTAGAAACCCAACAGTGCATTTGGTTCATGTAGATTTTTAGCCCTTTGGGGGCCTCTGTCAAATGGAAGAATGAGAATAGAAAATAGATGAAGCCCATCTTCGTTGCACATGGCGGGGCCCTGTGTGATCTCTTTAGTCTATTCTGCTTTATCACGACCCTGGCTAGGTAATGGTGAGCTGTAAGTGGGTTTTAATTTCTGCCTAATGGGTGAAGATTGAAAATACGGCAAGAGATTAATATGGCAGTGGCCAAGGGGTCCTGCTTGGTGCTGGGGGCGGGCGGCCGCCGCCTCAGCGCGGTGAAGGAGGGAAACCTCTCCTGAGGGGAGACCCGGTGGCTCCGGTTTTGGCGGGCGCTGCCGCGGGGGGGGGTAAAGAGCTGAGCCCCTGCCCGGGGCGGAGGGGAGGGCAGAGCCCGTCGCCTACCTGCGCTCGCAGCTGTCCCCTGCAGGGGTGCGCGGCCGGCTGAAGCCGTAGGGCTTGGAGCTGAGGGGTGGCAGCCCGGGGGGGCTCCCCTTAGGGCGCGGGTCGAGCTCTGGGAGAGAGGACCGGTAGCGGGCGTCGCTATTCGGGTGTGGGGAGACGGTGAGTCCGAGGGGAGCCCGGGCGGGGGTGACGGCCGCCGGGCATCTTCAGCGGGCGGCGGGGAGCCCCGGGAGCCGCCGGGGCGGAGGGGAACCTCGTCGTGGGCGGCGGTGGCGGTGAGGCAGCGCGTCGTGACAGGTGGCGGTGAGCCGGGGCGACGGAGTGCGCAGGGAGCGCGGATGGAAAGCGGCGGTGGGGTGGGCAGGGGGTGGGGGGGTAGCCGGAGAGGGCGCGGAGGAAGCGGCGGGCAGGGTGGGCAGGGGCCGGGCAGGCGCGGGGGGCAGAGGAAGCGGCGGCGGGGGCAGGCAGGGGGCGCGGAGCCGCCCCAGCGCGCCGGCTCCAACATGGCTCGCGGCGGGCGGGCGCCCCCTGGCGGCGGCGGGCGGGCGCGGCCGGTCACGTGAGGCGCTCGGGGCCTGCTGCCGCCGCCGCTTCCCCCAGTCAGAGCGGAGCGAGCCGAGGCAGAGACGAAGAAACAAGATGGCGGCCGGTAGCGATCCGGAGCGGGACGCCGGCAATTCGGATTGAGCCCTCGGCCCTCACAGCTCGGCGGCCCC